CAAAATCATGAACAGACATTCACAAAGATGACAAATGGTCAACATTAAATAAAACTTAATAATTTTCAAATTGAGAAATTTTTATACTTTAAACCAGCAAAAAAAGAAATCTTTATAAAGCAGCAATGTTGTGAAGACTTAATGAGTAGACACTCTCAGCCACTTCTCCTGGGATTGTAAAAACTTATCGTATCGATGGAAAGCAGTTTGCAAAATAAATATAGAGCATTAAAAAGCTTTTTTAAAAATATTATCATAGAAGAATGGTTAAATTGAATGTGATACACATACCCAATATGCAAAATTTTAAACGTTAATGAGCAGGAAAATGATGATAAAACTCTAAAGAACTAATTATCTCTCACATAATTGGGGTAACAAAACTAAAACGTTAATGTGAAAACCTAATTTTCAACACAAGAGATGCTGTCCTAGTTTTGCGTATATCTACAGGTGTATGTGTGTGAGAGAGTGTGTGTGTATTATAATTACCTGGGTAGGTCTTGATAAAGTTCATTTTATTAAAATCTTCAGATATGTGAAATTCCTAAAAGTAAACACATACAATGAGAAAAGTTATGATTTTAAAAGCAACAGGAACATAACTTTTAAAATGAGGCAAAATCTAAAGATGATTATCACAAGACCTGGGACTTAGTATTTGCTATTTAAGGATGACTATGAATCGCTTCTTTCATCAGCCCTGTCCTCAGGCCATCACTTCTTTGGGGGAGCAACCGAATCGAATGAAGAAAGTGCCACCGACCAGCAAAGCACTGTTTTCCACTTCTCCCTCCACAAGTGAGCATTTTGTACTCCCTCTCCCTATAACTCCAAGATTTTGGTAATTTTGCTCTCCTGGCTATAAAAAAATCCCTCAAGATGATGCATATAAAGCAAAACTGCACATACCATCACTAACAGAGTTCTCAGCTACAGCGAAAATAAGGCGTTGAGTATCTCAGCAATTTAATGGGGAAATTATACATATTTAATATACAAAACATATCAAAAAAGATAAATTTACAGATTGTAGGTGATTTTCCTCTTCTTTTTATACCCCTGTATTTTCCAAATTTTCTGTAGACTATATTATACTTTATAACTTGGAAACAATTAAACTTTTTAATGAAAAAATAAGCCTCAGCATAAAAGTGAGAAGATAAAACTTTACAGTAAAATCACTAATTAAGAATTCTCTTGATCAGTGCTAAACTGACAAGGACATTATGAATTGTTGATTGACCAGCGTGAGGGAAAAAAGCACACAAAGGAATATGGATTTCTTGTCCTCCATCTTGTTTGGGCAAAGCACACAAGTGTCTCAGCACTGTACATATTAATCTGGACGGGGGGAAGGATCAATGGACCAATTGCTAGCTAATGTGAAATTGGATTTACATTGCCCCTTTCCACTGGGGAGCTGTAAGAGTCTTTATGTGCCATCCTATAATCACAGAGTTTCCCCTTGAACCAAGAGCCACAAGAAGGGTCCCTAGAGAGATAATATACAAACACTGCCACCACTGAGCTATCTGAAGAATATTTGAAGAACTATTTGAAGAAGCCACTTTGCAGCTTCTTCTTATATATGTGCATGTACATCACCATGATGTTCCTATAAAATTTTCATGAGAAAGAGAGAAAGGAGAGCTCTCTTTCTAGGTATAAATGACTAGATTATTAGGCAATAGTTTCTT